TCATAGCGGGAAGAATCATCCCAGCCATCGCCACCTCAACTGCAATGGCCACCGGCCTTGTCTGCCTGGAGCTTTACAAAGTCCTCGCTGGTGGGCACAAGGTTGAAGACTACCGGAACACATTTGCGAACCTCGCAATCCCCCTCTTCTCCATGGCGGAGCCTGTGCCACCCAAGACCATCAAGCACCAAGACATGTCCTGGACCGTCTGGGACCGCTGGACCGTAACTGGCAACATCACGCTGTGGGAGCTCCTGGAGTGGCTCAAGGAGAAGGGCTTGAACGCATACAGCATATCCTGTGGGACCTCGCTGCTCTACAACTCCATGTTCCCCAGGCACAAGGAGCGGTTGGACAAGAAGGTGGTGGATGTGGCCAGGGAGGTGGCCAAGGTGGAGGTGCCTCCGTACCGCCGCCATCTGGATGTTGTGGTGGCCTGTGAGGATGACGACGACAATGACGTCGACATCCCGCTTGTGTCCATTTACTTCCGGTAAAGAGGGGCTCTTTGCCCGTTTACATGATCCTGCGCGATATTTGTCAGAAGGATCGAGTGCATAAGTTGCATGTGCAACCGTGAACTAGATTGTGTTTAAGCGCATACTGATGATTTCCCGAGCTACCGTCTGAGTAGAGTTGGCTGGGAATTGTCGCTGAGATTTGGGTCACCGTTATGGAATTCTTGAGCATAACATCATGATAGTTAATGCATGGTACTGTCGTTGGTAAATGTTGTCGTCTTTTAGTACTTGATGAAAAATGCATGTGACAGCGTGATGCTATTCTGGTTGCGATTTCTGTGATGTAAGTTCGTTGTTTCCTGGCATAACGAATTTGTGTTGGTGGCATGTGCTCACTTTAAAATTTGGGAACTACAGAAATATTAGGGCTTCAACGTTTGATGGTGTTGCATGAGGATGTGCTTGCATCGATCCACATGGGCGCGTGCACGACAACGTATGATTGTGATGGTTAAGGGTTGGGGGAGGCAGCTCAGAGTGGCGTTTGTGCTGTTGTAGCACGTTTGGGTTGTCTAAATGCCTGCCATGGACAAGCACAAACTGGCCACGTCTAAGTGTCGTTTGATGCACATGCGCTTGTTTCTAAACAACTACCAACTTAGACCCTAGTTTGTCCTATAGATAGTAGCTATCTGCTAATAATTATCTATTTAGGATCTAAACAGGCATAGATAGTGGACTAGATAATTGTTAATTTGAGCTTTAGATAACAACTATCCAACTAATTGAACCAAATCAGATAATAATTATTAGCTAGATAACTATTATCAGATAGTGAATCCAAACCGGGCATTAATAGGTTTGGCCAGATAACGGCATGAAATCATATGCGTGAGATGGGCAGGATAAACGAGAGGAAAAAGAAAACCCAGTAAGATGCCTATTGCATATATATGCACGGCAGCACAGACAGAAAAGGAGGACCTGAATGTAAACCAAAGAAGGTGCATATTGCATATATATGCAGAGAAGCAGTGAAGCACAGACAAAAAAAAAAGGGAGGATCTGAATGTAAAAATATAAAAAATATGAGGACCTGAATGTAAAAGGAGGACATGAACGCTAAAAATTGGGGGTGTTGCGAGAATCGAACTCGCGACCTCTCGCACCCGAAGCGAGAATCATACCACTAGACCAAACACCCAACCGATGGCGTTTGTGTCAGTGAAATTTTATTAAACGCATAATTTAAATGGCAGCATTGCAATCAACGAAGGACAGGCCATACAGGAGATGACCCGGTTCGTCGGTTCGATGAACCAAACCTAAATTTGTAAGCCAATTTGCACTGATGGGCAAGGCTACAATTATACGACCTCTATGTATGTCGTGTGAGTTTGGAACATGCGTGACCCACACACACATGCCAAATTTTTTATTCTGCATGTTCTCTAAACATGATGTGAGATGAACAGCCTACCGTTTATGCATGATGACATACGCCATGAAATATGCAACACGAACCTTCCTCACAGCTCAATCCAATCTTTTGTTGAGAGAGAGTAATATCACCACATACAAAATCCCCACCATTGTTAGCCTAAATAGTCGTCAGTCCCATTTAAACATTGTGTAAACTTTACATGGTGGTAAGTTGTTTCTATTTAATCGGACTGTTAAACCCATTTAATTGGCCATTCAACCCTTTTAAATAAATAGATGATTAGCTAGTCTGAATATAATGGCTAAATGGGATGTGACCGTTCATAGCATTTCAGAAAACAATAATTAACTCCAGTTAGTTTAGAATATATTATCTTTACTAAGCTAATTAGTTCATTTTGAAATTAGCATCAACAAAACGAGTGTATATCTAGTAGAGAAAATCTAAAATAACGTGTGCTAGGATGGTCCGGCACTATTATGTAATCCTGTAGACCTCCTAGGGCGGGCTCATCAGAAGCGCGTCGTTTGTATGAAACTATTCTATCTTAATTAAAATAATGCGCAAATCTTTTGCGTATTCGAGAAAAAACAAACAGTGGTGTTATCGTATCCATGCTAATTAGCTTGTGTTAGGAGAGATAAAACTGGCAAACTGAGGCGCTTTGTTTTTCCCATCATTTAATTTGCATGGAGAAGAGGATGGTAAAGATTTTTTCGAGAAAAAAAAAGAGGATGGTAAAGATGTGGTCTTCAAGGAAATACCATACCACCAGATCAATCCATGCCACCAATCTACTCCATAAGTTTGTGAATTGACTTGCTCTGGTACAGTACATCAATGGTCAAGCCATGAACTTGCCGAGGACAAATAAATAAACTAAACAAAAGTGCAGCGCAAGTGAAGGCACGGTCCAAAAATGTTATAAAATTTAAGTGAAGATGGGAACACAGATTGTCTAACAATCACTTGTGTACTCTTTCCAATGTATAGACACATCAACTAATAGTGTAGAAAAGAAAAATCAAATGCACACATCAACTGAGTAAATTTAATAAGGAGCGACGTGAGGAGACGATTTCCTGCACCCATAACACACCCAAAAATTAAACTCAACTAAAGTCTAAGACGATAAATAAAAGACCATTCAGTCGATGCGAAAAACTATATGGCTCTTGATTCTAGTAGCTTTCAAGCATCAAGAATTTATTCCTTGCCTTCATCCGAGCGTTATAATAGAGTTCAAAATTGTAGCCAATGTATCTCCTGAAAAGAACTTGAAAGAAAAAGTTTTTGAGCTACCTTTATCAAACACCGCGTCGTTCATTGTTATCCAAATTGCACAACAAAAGCAGTGCCCCAGTCAATAAAAGATTATTATGTTTCTAATTCTCCAAATTTGACTAATTATTGAAAAAATAGTTGGTCTGCCTTAGTGGTTTGATGCCAAACAAAACAAACGCAGCACACCTATAATTAATGATAATCAAAAACCAAACGTTGAATAGTTTTAGGTTTGATAAAAAAAATAACAAGTCTTACTGCCATTCTAATATATGGTATTTTTATTGAGTCTGCTCAATCAATCATTTAAATTATTTGACACGGTCCATAGCTACGGTGACTGGTGACTCATGAAGACGCGAGGTAGGTGGCATGCAAAATTAGCACGAAGGTGCAAAAACGGGTCCATGAAAAGGAACAGGACGACACCTAGACCTCTAATTGAAAAGGTCCATGCATACTATACGAACCTATGTTTGAGTCTCCGATACGTCTTAGATGCTCATATATCTTTAGTTATTTATTTTCTATTTCAGTGGTTGATGTCGTATTGACGTGTCTATCGACAAGAAGATACATATGTTTTTTTTTTGTCAATCTAAGATATGTCGGCAAAGTCCTGTTTAGCAAAAATGAATATGCCATAAATGTAGAACACGTCAAAGGTAGTAGTAGAAAACCGAAGTTGTGTGTAACATCCGGTCATCCACAAGCCTACTAGTCTTCGCATGTGTGTACCAAATTTGTCGAAGTACACTGTCTACGGTAGGTTCTTGGCTAGTCACGTTTGGTGGTCCAGTGCCAGTGGTGAGGTGACGATAAAATTTAATAAGTAAAGGGAAAAAAACCCAGAAGAAAAATAAATAAAAGGAAGTTTCCATGTGTTGGGCAACCAGTTAGCAAACGGCCCACCAGATGGCTACTGCATCTCGTTGCGTTGCGTCTCTGGCTGCCCACAAACGGACGGGGACGGACAGACATCCTCCTCCAAAGTACATCCAGTCCACCAGATTGCACTTCGATAGTAATCTATTCTACTGCCGGGATTGGGAAGCTAAGCTTTACAGACAGGTACTCGAACAGAAGATCCTAGCTGTACGTTCCTTCTCGTTGGCTTCTCCAGTTCCTTTGTGCCGTTGTTCCCCAACAAGACGTTAGCTGCTGCTTGCTTTGCTCTGACCTGACTGAGAGTCGTCTCCTGAAAAGTGGAGGAATGACCGGCCGGGTGGGGCTACTGTAGAGCAGATCCTCTTTGCTTCCGGTTTGGTTTCTGTGAGTCCTTCGTTCCTTCTGTCCCTGTTCTAGCTTTGGTTCTTCAGTTCTTTCAATTCAAATAGATGGAGCACTAGCTTACGAATGTGGATTCTTTACTTCAACAGCCGCAAGTTCCAAGATCCTCTCCTACTTTTCTGTTTCCTTTCGCATGTTTCACAGCTTCCATTCTGAAAACACTCCCTTTATGATGCCTCTCGTGCAGGAGAGGGGCCTCAAGCACAAGCAGATGGGGGATTATTCGATTATGGCATCTCGATTCGTTTCTTGCGGTGGTATGCAATCCAATCCGTGTGCGCCCCTCCCCTCCCACAGCGCAAAAGATGCGATCTTTCCGACATCTAGCTAGCCAAGCTTGCTTGTACAGTCAGTCAGTCAGTCAGTTAATCACCAGGCTTCACAGGTAAACCGTCGAATCTATGGTGGTGGCGGTGGTGTCCCTCTTTTATTCTCTTCCCTTGTTCTTACTCTCTCTTCTAACATCCTGCAGTAGAGAGAAGAGGTTTGAGCTCTTTGCCTGGGCTTGGGGACACACAGAAATGGTGGAGATGCGCAGCATCAGGGCTGCTGCCTACTTCTTGCTCTTGTCCTTGCTCGTGTCTCAGAGGCAGCTTATTGGGTCTTGTGCTTCCATCAACGAACAAGGTGGGTGGGCGCAAAGAATTTTTTGGTGCGGCAATATTAAAACAGATGACAGACTAGGTTCTTGACATGCATGGATTCGTGCCTAAACAAATTCTACTGGTGCTTTTTTCAGGGAGACCTCTTTTGAGATTTGGAGAGAGCGTAGCAGATGATCCTATTAGATCTTCGTCGAATCGGGGAGTGAGTTGCGCAGATGATGGCAAGGTGGTGGCGTTGTAAGTGCTGTTCTCGTTCAATCTTCAGTTTTCCTTCTGCTAATATCAGTCCTTAGTAGATTAGGAGTTCAGGGTAAAGTGTCCCTTAGTTTTTTTTTTTTGAGAATTACACAGTACAACGCAAACGCCCACAACACGCACGCACACTCACCTCTATGAACACACGTACGCAAACCCTACCCCTATGAGCACCTCCGAAGGACTGAGCCGGCAGATCTCGAGATTCACAAAGTCACCACGGTTTTACGCTGGTTTTTTCTTTTGCCGTTCGGTTTTATGTTTAGGCTACTCGACGGGGCAACCTTTGGTTACCTTACATCGACGTTGCCATTGTTTGTTTGGATGTTCTCTACTTCCTCTTAATGAAATACGTGCTACAGTGCACGTTCGAGAAAACAAAGTCACCACGGGCGCCTCGCTATCGACGGAAATGTCGCCTACCACTGAAATCATAGCGCCGTTAAATCCTGAAATAAATCCAGTAAAATATGAGCACCCGTGCCAAGTCGAGGACTTGAACCCGGATGGACAGGTTCCACCACAAGGAACCCAACCAACTGATCTATGGTCCCTTAGTTGCAAGAATGTATTGTAAGGGATCATTTGGAATCGTATAGAAATTTCATAAGGAATCGGTTCAATTTCATAGGTAAAATCGGTTCAATTTCATGGAAATTTTCATGTGTTCTAAGCATGGCCTAAGTAGCATGTAGCCAAGCATGTGTAGTTACCCCTTATTTAAACCACTATTGGAACAGGTCCTTGTCTCATTTTGCTATCGCCCACTGTTGTAAGTTTTAGTTTCCACCAGAAGGTATTAGTCAAATCAAACAATTATAAAGCAAGCTATGCTTGTCAAATGACAGTTTTGACTTATGAACATTTCTTGATGCCCTTTTCCCCCTTTCAAACGTGAAAATTTGTGTATGTTTTCTTGTTGGGATTCAGGCACAAAAGGTAATATTTAAAATAAGAAACAGTGGCAACAAAATTTTAAATATTTTCTTCGCCGTTAACTTTTGTGGACCTAGTAGATTATAAATGGACAAATTCTCGTCGTATTTATGGACCGATACCTGCAGAGAAGGGTAACATGCAAAATCTGAACTGCTAAGTCAAACTGCCATCAGAAAGTTCATAAAAAAATATGTTTGTCAGAAAAAAAACAATTCTTTCAGATCTATGAAAATAGTGCCATACAAAAATTAACATGACATGATGATCTCTGCAGATTACCCAAGGGTTACAAGTTATCTGGTGAATTGCCATCTGACTTGCACAAACATACAGAGATTTCAGAGGGCCTATCTTATGAAGCGCTGCAATCATGCAGGAAAACCTTAACAAAGTCAGTCTCTTGTTTCTTTCTTTTACTACATGTAGTTTCCTAACCGTACATAACAACTTCACCACAAAGTCCATTTCTTAGCCTATGTTCAATTATCCATCCATGACGCTAATGGTAAACAGCGCAATCAGGGGTGTTGTCCAGAGACGACTCCAAAGCCCAGAAGCAAAGGCACATCATGTTGATCCTTCATCTCCATCCAAGTCTTTACCTCGCTGGGCAATCTACATAATAGCCATCAGTGGAGCACTTGTCGTTGTGGCTGTAGCTGCTGTCATTGTGTATCTACTCTTTTCTCGTCGAAAGAAGGATACCACTGTCATGCCATGGTCTACTGGACTCAGTGGACCACTCAGTAAAGCCTTCGTGGCAGGTCAGTCTCTCACCATCAGGAGCTTATGGGTTAAACCAAATGGGCACATTTCATCAGACTAGCATACATATAATTTCATCAGGTTGCTTGCATATAAATTGGCTTTATTTGCAGCATGGCAATTACTTATGTGATGTTGTACATACTGTGTGTTCAGGTGTTCCTTCTCTTGGAAGGGCAGAGCTACAGGCAGCCTGTGAGGACTTCATCAACGTGATCGGCTCCTCGCCCGACTGCACGCTGTACAAGGGAACTCTATCAAGCGGAGTCGAAATAGCAGTAGTCTCCACTTCAGTTAACTCTGCCAAAGATTGGACCGACAGGTCTGAGGAGCAATTCAAGAACAAGGTTATTACGCAATGTGCAAAGCTATGGTCAAGTCAACTAGTTTTTTCACTGTTGTAGTATTGTGTGTCTTATCTTACTGAACATTAACCGCTCCTGTTTCAGATATCTGTTCTGTCAAGAGTGAACCATAAGAACCTGATGAACTTGCTTGGTTACTGCACATGCGACGAGCCGTTAACAAGAATGATGGTCTTCGAGTACGCTCCGTGCGGTTCCCTCTTCGAACATCTGCATAGTGAGTGCCCTCCCCACCTCTGCATCTCGATGCCTAGAGAAATACAGTAACGTTCTTGCCTTTTGCTGATAATGAAAGACAGCAATGGTGCTAACTGTTTTTTCTGAATCCCATTCAACTGTTAGGTGTGCTTTGATTGATATCTGAAAAACACATGCATGTTGGCTGCAATGATTGATTGCTAGCTAGCTAACAGAATAATTCCTCCTCCTGCTGTGCAGTTAGAGAAGCTGAAGATTTGGACTGGCCTGCACGGCTGCGCATCATCATGGGAGTAGCATACTGCCTGGAGCACATGATCCAGCTCGACCCTCCAGTGACGCCACCGACCCTGAGCTCCTCGTCCATCTACCTCACAGAGGACTACGCGGCCAAGATCTCCGACGCCGAGTTCTGGAAGGAGGACGGCAAGGATGCACAGATGATCTCTGACAAGCAGCAGGATGACATCGTGTACAGGTTCGGCATCCTGCTGCTGGAGGTGATCTCCGGGCGGCTGCCATTCTCCGAGGACCACGGCCTGCTCGTCCTCTGGGCGTCCAGCTACCTGGACGGCAAGAGGCCGCTGTGCGGGATGGTTGACCCGACGGTGAGGTCGGCCGTGCCTGACAAAGATTTAGAGGCGCTGCGTGACGTCGTGAGGCTGTGCGTGCGCTCGGACGACAGGGAGAAGAGACCGGCCATGGGCGAGGTTGCGAGAGCGTTGAGAGGCGTCACCGGGCTGTTGCCGGAGCAGGCGACGCCGAGGGATAACCCGCTGTGGTGGGCCGAGCTGGAGATTGCCTCGGCGGTGGAGTCGGAGTCTGAGTGAAGTTCAGAGCCGAACGTGAACTGAATTTTCCTGTATTCTGTTTTTGTCCCCATTTTCTTCTGTAGTGTTAGTGTGTCTAATTTTTATAGCAAGAGATGTCACTGTAATTATAGTACGTAACACATCTTGGATAGAATTGTGAAAACTCTCGAGGAAAATACGAAGTAGTTTTCAACAGATTTAAAACGATGCACATCCATAGTGTATCTATAGATTAGATTGTCACAGAATTTGAGACTCTAACTTAATCTAATAAAGTTCATACGAAAACAATAGATTTCAGATTAATATATATACATTGGAACGAGAAAATGGCGATTTTGCCATTATAAAAGGTGGGCTTCGCTCTTTTGCCATTTCGCAAAAGGGATTCGTCCGATTACCATTATCAAACGAGCCACACCCGCTAGAATGTCCTGCGACGGATTTATTATCAAATTTAATATTTTTTTTGCCACGACATCTTTTCTTTCTAGTTTTGCCCTTGGCTGAACACCTTCGTTCCTTTTTCATTCACAGTCTCTTCACGGAGAGCACGAATGGGAGAGAGAGCGAGACGGATCATGCACCACAGTCCTCTCCTCTGGTAAATAGTCATAACACCACTTGTATTATACCGCAATGTTAGGATAAACTGTGCCAAGATCCATACAGGACCGATTTGGATCATGCACCACAGTCCTCTCCCCTGGTAAATAGTCATCAACATTAATGGCTAACCCCTGTTGTATCAATTTCCTCAGTCCTCTCCCAAGTATCGTTGTTCTGTTGACCGCAACCTTTCCTAATTGCCTTCCTTGCCTTATCAGCCTCCTCATCCTCAGCCCTAAACCCCAACAATTCATCCATCACCTCATCATCAACGATCTCTATTCTTCCCATTTCATCTCGACTTTCCTCGATGCGTAGCGCATCCCAATCAACAAGAGGTGTCAGCAGCTGTTGTGCAAGAGGTTCTACCACTGCTAAGCTAAGATCAGGCTCCCCATCGAGCCTAGTACAGAAAAAAGGTGGCACAGTTAGATTACCACCACATCTACACTAATCAAGACTAATCTACACGTTTGGACACAGTTAGATTACCACCACAGCAAAAATACATACCCTTGGATGAGATCTGGCCGGTTCTTGTCCATCCAGTGTTGAATGATTAGGCAATTTCTAGATTAAAACCAGAATATAAATCATGACAATCTCAAATACTATAAGCATAGCTCGTATACTAGCATGATTTAACAGCATAAATAAAATAACTAGTGTAAGCATAGCTCGTACACTATCCATAGGATCAAATAGCATAAATACTGATGTAAGCATAGCTCGTACACCAGTCAGATTAAATAGCATAAATACTGGTTAAGCATAGCTCATACACCAGTCAGATTAAATAGCATAAATACTGGTGTAAGCATAGCTTGTACACCGGTCCGATTAAATAGCTCAAATAGAGACATTGGATCACGAGGTGTATACCTTTCAACTGCAAAGAGAGACGACGCCGCTGGTGATGGAGATGCAGATGGTGACGCTCCAGCTGCTCGGAAACACTCGTCAGTCCGCTCGAAGACGGTGGCCAGCTGCTCGGACCTGCCCCGCAACTGCTCGGACACGGTCGCCAACTGCTCGGACAGATCCCCCTTTTGGTATTCCAGATCCCGCGCTTGAGACTCGGCAAGATCCCGCTCGCGTTGGGCCCTCCGGACGTTTTTCTCTATAAGCTTCATCGCCTCCTTCAGCTTTGCGTTTTCTTCGGCGAGGGGCTCTATCCTCTTGATCAGCTGGCGCCGTTGTTCGGCAGTCCGAGCTATCCCCTGCAAAAGCACCAAGACTATGAAGAACTCCAATCTCCAACGTCAAAGATGAACATTGATGACGCAATGCTAACCTTAATCCGCTTCATCGCCGTCGAAAGGGTCGACTCCAGCCTCCTGAGCTCCCTGGTGGTGTCCTCCTCCTCAATGACCACCACTTCGTCGCCCCGTTTGCAGAGGATTCAGACAGCTTGGGGTCGTGATTCCTCACGTTCGATCTCTTCCACCTCGTCCTCCTCCTCCGTAGCTGGAGGCACCACTAGGGGCTCGGTGGCCGGACAGCGTGTCCGACCATGCCCTCCGACGCCTTAGGGAGCGCCGTCTGCTCCTCGAGCACCACCGCTTATCCGCTGCAGACTCCGGCATGGCGTTGGCAACTCCAGCATCCACCTCCGAAGACCCGGCGGCTACCGCCGTTGCCCCGGGCACCGCCACCGACACGTCCGCCATCGGCGCCAACCATTCGCCGCCCCCAAGTCCACCAACAGGGGCGCTTGATTCCTCCGCAAGCTGCCGAGCACCCGAGGACTCCGGGATGGGATCTGCCGCGCGTCGCCTCAGCGCCAGGACCAGCCCTCGGGCTCGCCGGTCTGGATGGATGGAATTCAATTCCTCCGTACGCCTCGCTCTACATCAGATTAGCTCGTCAATCGCCGAAAGAGATAAGGATACGATAGCAAAATAACAAAAAGGCAAGGATACTTACATGTCGGCCTGCCGGTACACTTTTCTGAACCGGCGCTGCCTACCCGAGCCCCCAGCGCGCGGCCCTAGGGTCGACTTGTGCGCCCTGGGGTGGAGGTCTCATGGTCTCCGCCATCGGCCTCTCCTCCGAGACTCCCCTCGCTTGCTGCACGGGGACTCCCTTCGCCTGCTGCTTGGGGACTCCCAACCCTCCCTAAGATTGCTCCTCCACGCGCGTGTTGCCCGGAGGCGCTTTAGTGCTCGGGGGAGGAGCCACTGGAGCCTCGTCGTCATACGACCACTCGGACATCGCCGCACACCACGTCCGAGTGGTCTGGTCACCACCAAGCGAGATGCCACCCGGCTTACGGGGAACAGCACCCGTCGTCTTCCTTTCTTTCGGGCCAGCTCATCTGCCGCTACCCTCTTCCCCCGGACTTTCTCCGACACCGGGGGGTACTCTCCGTCCGACCAGCGTTGGCGCCTCTGGATTCTGACAAGGCGCTGATGGCACTTTCCTTAGGTTGAGTTAGTGGCCGGGTGTCTACCGCCTGCGGCCAATCACCCCTCGACATGCCTAAGAAGTACATCGCTTGTTCCTGCGAATGGATCTTTTCATAAGTGAATCAGTTCACTACTCGACAACGGTAAATGATAAAAAGCATCAGGAACAAAACAATTGGGATGTTTACCTGAGGAGGCGGGTTCGTACAGTTGAAGGCCCTCGCCTACCTTGACATGCTAAATGAGGCATTTGGAGCAAATAGCTCTACGGCCCGCTCTAGCACTTCATCCTTCGTCAGCCTCCCGTGCTCTCCCGGGTGCCGTCGTTGTCCCCCTTGAAGTCAAAGCCCGCGTGGGCCCTCTCCTTGCAGGGCTGGACGCGGCGCACTATGAATCTCGCCGCCACTAGTCCATCATTCATCTTCACACCCTTTATTAGGTTGAGGAGCTCCCTCACCTGCTCCATGTTGGCACTGCTCGGCTTCTCCGACCAGCTCCTCTGGTTCTCCGGAATGTGGTCGATGTCGCAGCGGATGGCGGGATGGCTCTGCTTCATGTAGAACCACCTGGTGTTCCACCCCTTCAGTGAGGTGTTCAGCGGTATAGTGATGTACTCGCCCACCATTCCATCGTGGAGTTGAAGATACACGCCGCCGACCACCTTCGAACCGCCACCACCCTTCTTCTTCAGCCAGAATAGATGACGAGAAGAGGTTGAAGTGAGGAAGAACTCCGAGATATGCCTCATAGAAATGGATAAAGATGGAGATGTGCAAGATGGTGTTGGGGTGGAGGTTGCACAGACTAATTCTCCAAAACTCCAGCAGATCCCTCAAGAAAGAATGGACGGAAAACCTAACCCGCCAGAAATAATCCTAAAAAACTATGGCTTCATCGGTATGGGGCATTGGGAAGGGCTCACCGCTGGCTGGCCGCCATCCAGCGGTGACACGGTCCAGGAGAACGCCCGCTTCCACCATCCTGTTGATCTCCGCCTCCCCCATGACCGACGACACCCACTCATTGTCGCGACTGGCTCCGGCGGCCGCCTTCTCCGGGTTTCCAGCTCCCTTCTTCGGCGCCATCTCTCAGATCTGGTTTGGGATTGGCGGCGGAAGCATGTGTGAATCTGGCAGTGCGAGGACTGAGGAGGAAGATGAAATGGCAAAGTGGCAAAGGTGGGAGCGCGGGGAACGGCGGTGCAGTTATAAAGCACTCCCCCACCTTTCGCATTCGAGGGTTTTAGGGAAACTGCTCCACGATTTGCGCCTGTCTGAATTCTCCGCAACAGCGTGGTGGGCCATTACTTGGGCTTTCATGCAACTACAACCCGTATCACCCATTTATCACCACAATTTATTACTGCTCACCGAATATTCACCGACTTCTCCGCCATCAGTTACGGCTCAGTAATTACTACTGTACAACTATTACTCCGGTTTTTTCTCCATGATTTATTTTCTCCAAGGTTTCCACTTGTGGCTTGGGAACTGCCTCGTTAAAGCGACTTGTTTCCTCACCGCACTGTGGATTTTCTTCTGTTTGTTGTTGTTTCTGACCCTGGCACCACATGACTACGTCACCTACTGTCAGGCTCGGGGACTAAGTGGGCACACTTCACCTTGCGGTGAATGTGCATTTTTCTATTCAAGGCTACGCCCGAGGACTGGCTGCCTGCTCGGCTAGTCTTCTGCTTTTTTCTACTTTGGACCCTGGCACCACATGACTGCGTCACCTACTGTCTGGCTCAGGGACTAAGTGGACACACTTCACCTTGCGGTGAGTGTGTTTGCTTTAATCTGGAAGACTTCGCGCCTCCTGAAGTTGAAGAAGACTATCTCCCTTTCTTGTGGTCGAACTCTAAGTGGGCACACTTGGTCCACTGCGAGGAAATTTTTGATTTTGAACTTGAGCTCCTTACACCCTTATGGCAAGCCGTACTTGGGTTACACTGCTCGGCGACAGTTCACGCTGCTCGGCGATGGTTCACACTACTCGGCA